TCTTAGGAAGCACACGTCCCTGACTCGGGCTTCTGAGTGTGCTCGCTATCACTCCGAGTTCACATCCATCACATTGACGGTCAGTCCGTGAACCACACACCCTGTTTTGGGTGTTGGCGCTCCATCGTGTCCAATCTGGGAGGGCTGGCCCTGTTCAAACTGTTCGCGTCTCCACATAAACTTCCCAACCAACTTGCCTAGCTCTACTAAGCAAAGGGAAGTTGGAATTGTAACTGGAACTGAGTTAAACTTAAATACAAGTCTTTTGATGCTAACTTGAATGGTCTTTTCACACTTCAGTGCCCCCAAGCTTAGCTTACTTCCTACTGCATTAGGGAAATTATTTGAATATTGCTGTCAAAGAAAGCTTTTCTTTAATTGGCCATTCTTGGAATTTTGTTCGATATGGGATTTTTTTTTATGGGGTTTTAATTCTTACTTGTTTATAGTTCAGACCATAAGAAGTGCTTTTCAGAATGAAAGAAAAATGGGTACGTGAAATGCTCTGGAGCGCTTCTGTTTGTTGTTTTGCTTTGTTTTATAACCTTTGGTACCAGAGTTGGCATTTGTAGAAGCGGAAAATGTTGGCTTCTGCTCTGCAAGAGACTTCTGGCTTCTGTTCTTAATATGCATGTACCCACATGCCACTGTGCACAGACTGATTATTTTCTACTGTGAGACATTTCCCATGTCCTTTTTTAGAATTTTAATATGTAAGAGCAGGTAAACACGGTGAGCTCTGCAAGTCAGGTGAACTCCACTGGAGCCGGGCACCTCTTGTGGCTCAGACTCACCATCATCATCATTGCACGTGTGTTCTTCCTTGTCCCAGACCTCCAGAGAAGCCAGCCTTCTCAGCCTACCAGTTGTTGGCTAATTATCGAATGTGCCTTCTGTCTACTTTAGTTTAACTTTTTATTTTGGGATCATGTCAATTCACATGCAGCTAATAACACGAGAACCCACGCTCACTTTACACAGTGCACTGTTACAATGAGGATGTTGACCTCTGTACAGTCCAGATCCAGAACATTCTAGCGCCACAAGGATCCCTCCTATTGCCCTTTCATAGCCATACCCACATCTTCCCCCAGCCCTGGTGACCACTAATCTGTTCTCCATTTCTACAGTTTTCTCATTTCCACACTGTTATATATCAGTGGACCATGGGATTGGGTTTTTTCACTCATTCTAATTCTCTGGAAATCCATCCAGGTTGTTGTGTATATCAATACTTTGTCCCTTTTTATTGCCACATGGTATTCCATGGCATGGATGGACCACATTTTAGTTAATCACTCACCTGTTGAAGGGCATCTGGATTTTTCCCAGTTTTGGGTTATTGTGAATAAAGTTGCTATAAACACTGATGTGTTTATAATTTTAAGTAATCTCTACCCCCAAAATGGGGCTTGAACACACAACCCCAAGATCAAGAGTCACATGCTCCATTGAACCAGCCAGGCACCCCCATGTACCCATTTTTTATGTGAACATGTCTTCATTTCTCTGGGATAAATGCACATGTTTAGTGTTTAAGAAACCACGAGACTGCTCTCTGGGGTGGCTGCACCTGTTACATTCCTGCCAGCGTTTGGGGTGGCCACTGTTTTTTATTGTAGCCATTCTCACAGGTGTGTGGTGGTATCCCGTGTGCTTTCAAGGTGCATCTCCCTAAGGGCTGATGACATTGAACGCCTTCTCACGTGCTCGTTTGCCATCTACAGATATGTCTTCTTTGGTGAAATAACCATATTTTTTGCCCATTTTTTAATTGGATTGTTTTATTGTTTAGTTTTGAGAATTTCTTGTGTCTTCTATTTGTCGGATATGTGGCTTTCAAAGATTTTCTCCCTGTCTGTAGCTTGTCTTTTCATCTTCTCAGTAGGGTCTTAAGCAGAAGTGTTTAGTTTTGATGAGGTCCATTTATCAGTTTTTCCTTTCATAGATGGTGCTTTTGATCTGCAGAAGAGTCTGCAAACTCTTTGCCTATAGATCCTGAGGGTTTTCTCCTATGAATTTCCTAAAGGTGTTATAGTTTTGCGCTTTACCTTGAAGCTCCAGGTCCCTTTCAGGTGGATTTTTGTGTAGGGTGTAGACTCGGGTGTCGCACTGCTCCAGCATACTTTGTTGACAGGTCTGTCTGTCCTTCTGCGCTGACCGGCTTTGGCACCATTGTCTGTGATCGGCCAGGTGTGTTGGCGAGAGCCTCTCTAGGTCCTTCCTTCTGCTCAGCTGTGACCTGCTTGTCTGTCCCTCGCTAATTCCACACCGTCCCGATGACTAAAGCTGTATAGTAAGTACTTTATGATGGCTGCTTGGAAATCTTCCCCCAGTGACTCTAACATCTCTGGGTGGCATCTCCTGGTTGATGTTTTCATTCACTTTGGGATCTTCGTGGCTCTCGGTATGATGAATGATTTTTTACTGAAACCAGAACATACTGTGTTACAGGACCCTGAATGTTACTTAAACCTCGTGTCCTAGCTGACTGTCCCTGGCATCTCCCGCTCTCCCTGGTAGGGGTCCAGGTTCCCACCAGGCCACTGCCAACAGCTCGCAGGCTTGCTCCTCTTCCATGGTCTCCTGGCAGCCCTGGGGGTGCTGAGATGGGCACCTCAGACAGGCCCCCCGAGTGTCCCCCTGACTCTGCCTTGCAGCTGGGAGGGTGGCGTCTGGCTGGAGTGGGGCCTTTCTCCTCCATCCGTTGCCCCATGTAGCTGGCAGCTCCCTCTCTTGGACCTTTGGCCGAAATAGCAGTCCTTGTTTTGTTTGTTTTTGTCTGTGCCATTCTCACTGTTGTTCCCAGGCTGCTTCAGCTCCCAGGCTGGGGTAATAATGCAAAAGCAGACGCAGGGCACTCCCTGCCGTGCGCTCCTTGGTCCCCGGGCTGGTCTGCCTTCTTCCCTCCACGCTTCAGAGCCCTTCTGATGTTTGCTTTATGGGTCATAGTTCGGGCTTCTCTGAAGTGCTTTGTGGTGGCCTGTCTCACACCAGCTCTGTGCTTTCCTCTCCGCCGCCGGAGTCCGGGCCTCAGGGTGCGCCCCAGCTGGCCTGCCCTCCAGCCTCCGATTAGCACCTGTGTACCCGTCGTCCTGCCGAGGGACTCCTCAGAGCACCCATGTGACTCCGAGGGCATGTGCTACTTCTGCACTCACGACCACATCTTCCCTCCCACTCTGGACCTCAGGAAGTTACTTTTTTTTTGTTTAAATTTATTTGACAGAGACAGAGAGAGAGCACAAGTAGGCAGAGCGGCGGGCAGAGGGAGAGGGACAGGGCGGAGCAGGGAGCCCGAGGTGGGGCTCAATCCCAGGACCCCGGGACCGTGACCTGAGCCGAAGGCAGACGCTTAACCGACTGAGCCACCCAGGTGCCCCAGGAAGTTCCTTTTTTATTAAAACTTGCCATAATGGGAATATTAAAACACATGCAAATACAGAATTGCAAATGAACCCCCACATGCCCACCAGCCGGCATGAGCATACCAACCTCGACCCCTGTTTCCCCCAGACAGCATCTGCTTTCTCCCCCACCATACTGTGTTAGTTTATAAGAATAAACCCCAGATGTTATCATTTCATCTTTAAACACTTCAGTATGTCACTAAAATTTAAGTGCTATTTCCACACCTAAAATGACTAATAATTCCTTAATCAGCTATTCAGGTGATATTTATTTTTTAAAAAATATTTATTTGAGAGAGAGAGAGAGTGGGTGCAAGTGCAGTGGGAAGGGGCAGAGGGAGAGAGAGAATCTCTGGCAGACTCCCGACAGTGCAGAGCCTGACATGGGGCTCCATCTCATGACCCTGAGACCATGACCTGAGCCAAAACCAAGAGTCAGACACTTAATGACTGAGCCACCCAGGGGCCCCTGAATAAAGGATTCTAAGTAGAAACTCATTTAACTTTTTTTTTTTTTCTGTGGGACTCGATCCCAGGACTCCGGGATCATGACCCGAGCCGAAGGCAGTTGCTTAACCAACTGAGCCACCCAGGCGCCCCGAAACTCATTTAACTTTTAGCAGCAAATTTGCCACGTATACATTGAGATTCAACATTGTTAATAAATGATTGTCATGAAAACTATATGCATTTTAGATAGATGAGAGAGATTTATAACATATGCATGATTTAGCACGTTTTAGTTACTGTTTTCCTAAAAACACTGGATTTGCCTTTCAGTGACATATAATATAAATTTTGTTTGTATATGAAGCAAATGTGGCTACGACATTTGCAATCTTCTTTTCCTTGCTTTCAGTGTGATGGGTCCTTTATTACAGATTATGCATTAGTACAGTCTTGCAGAGTATAGCTACAGTATTCAGGAAAAGGAGACCATTAAACTTGTTAATAATTAGATCATTGGAGTAACTGTTCTTTGAGGATTTCCTGTGGTTTCTCCTGTCAACAAAATAAGAAGTTATACATTGCTAAGGAATTAGATCCGATTTGAATAGTCGTATGTTCTTTAGTTGCATCCATACGAGATGCTGTTCGGGATGAAGAAGAGCAGTAAGGTGAAACCCTGGGGTGTTTTTGCTCTGCATCTTTAGTTTATAACCCAGACCAGAGTCCTGAGAGCAGTGATCCAGCGGCAAGTGGGCTGACATGTGTGTGGCTCCATCATCTTCTGTGATGACCTGGTGCGCCTTCGTCCCGTCCTGTGGGAGAGCTGTCTCTGAGGCATCCTTGTCCTCACTGTCCTCCGGGGCCCAGCCCTGCTGCGGGGCCGCCCTCCTCAGAGTGGCACTTGATCGCGGGGTGGCCCCTTTCCACCTGTGCCATCCTTCCTGACAGTGCAGCCCTGGTCGGCCGTCCTGTGGTGTCCTGGGCCGTGCAGATGCTCTGTCCCCGACAGCAGACCTAACCATCCTTGCTTCGTGACTTTCTTCTTGAGTTTGTAGTAATGTTGTACTCGTTCCCTCGGGGCAGGCTGACCTCATCTGCTCATGTGACGGGCACGCTGAACATTCTTTTCTTGCTGTCTTTCAGACAGAAACCATCTCCGCCAGTCAAGAAGCCCTCAGAAGTCCTTTGCCATGGATACAGAAGATGAAGAAAACATGAGTAAGACCTGGCCTCTCATGTAGCACCAAGTAGCTAACCCTCCATTAAAACCTTAGTGTTCTCGTCAGTCTTTCTAATGAGACTAATTTGGGGAAAGTGATTTTTTTCCTACAGTATTTCCTACATCATTAACAATGGCATGTTTTAAATTTCTGATGTATTCTCTACAGTGATGTTGGTACTTGCTGTGGGCATTTTCCTAAAGCCGTGTGTCTGGACCGTCCATCACTCTGGGGCCACCGTGCATGTACCTGCAGGCGCACACTCACCTCCAGACGCGTTTCCCACAGAGCTGCATGGTTTCATGCGATGTCACAGCCTGGTCTTCTACTGGTGGCCAGATTTTCATCTGTGCAAATCTAAAATACCCTTTGAGATTGATTTAAGTACTTGGTCATTTGGGATGACACTACCTAAATTTTTCCCTGTAAATACGATGGATTCTCCCTGTGCTTTGAGGGAAGGAGGCTCCCATGAGGCTGCTGATTTTGTTTGCAAGACGTCAGCGAGCCTTTGGGCTGCTGTGGACCCGAGCTCCCTGCTGGGCCTGTTCCGTGTCCCACACTGTTCTTTCTGGGGTGCAGGCTGGTGAGCCTCAGGGGCACACAGCTTCCCTCCCACAGCGGTGTTCTTTGTGAAAAGAAGTTCCCTGAACACCTGTCTTCTATTTTATCTTTAACCCCAGATAGCCATGCATTTGAGTAAGATTTAAAGGCTCCCACCGAAGTTGGGAGCTTTTAGTAGGGAAATTACAGCAAAGCACCATCTTTCTGATATACGTGTATGTGTACATCTCACTTGTCTGTGTTCGGTGGTTCTCAAGGAAGAACATGCAGGTGTAAATGATGAGTGACAGCTTATTGAGAGTGGTCACGTGACTAGAACAGAGCTCAGTGCACCTCCCTGTGACTTCCTCCAAAACCGAGCAGCGGAGGCCTTGCCCTTGAACTAGTCTGCTGCCGAGCACCCAGTAGCTCACCTGGCAGAGCCCGGCTGCCCCACGGGCCCCGCTGCGGGGGACGCAGTGGGCTGGGCCTTTGTCACACAAACCGCGCGGGAGCTGTTCTCTTGGCGGTCGGGGGCGTGAGAAGGCATGAGCGGTTGCTGTTTCAGCAGCGAGACCACAGCTCCGTGAGCTGTCTTCCTGCAGGCTGCCGTCCCCATCAGAGCCTCCTTGGGGGTCCGTCCCGCTGGCCATGGCCACTTTTCCCCGTGCGTTCCCCCCCCGTGGGGACTGCGTGAGCACCTGTGTGCCAAGCCTCCTTTTTTGGGGACTAGGGCTGTCGTCCACTGCGGCAGTCCCTGGGTTGGGGTGGAAACTGCGGTGTGTAGACCGTGTGGTAACTTGCCAAGATAAAGGAATCTTCTGAGTTATGGTGTGGGAAGGATGAATGCGGTTCCGGAGCTGGAAGTGGCGGGAAGTCCTAGATGTCCTGCCGTTTTAGAGGCAACGAAAGATCTTATCACGGCCGCGTTCATGTTTGTGGAATAAAGCAGCACGTGTGTGTTTAAGAGCTGTGACAGTGGGGCCTCTTTCCCTAATTCTAATATTGATTTCCTCTGCGTAGTAGCATGTCTAATTAGATGGAAGCTGAGCAGGATCTGAGCGCTCCTGGAGCAGATAACAACTTGGGATTTGTGTAAAGTGTATTGTAGGAAGCGTGTTTTTCTTACAGTCTCAAGCTTATCTGTCACCCAGCCCCGGTCATTTTTATTTCCTAAAGGCCGGCCTTTGTGTCAAAGGGTGTGTGTGTGACAGTGTATGTGTGTGCACGTGACGTGGCCCGACCCCCATGCCGGTGACCCCCCCACGGGCACCAGCGTCAGGATGTAAGTGCTCATGTGGCGTGTACGACTCTTGCTCACGTGTTAATCTAAATCTGTCTCACTCTGCCCTTTTTAACCTCTGTTTCTTCTGAGCACCGAAAGGAGTAACCTATTGAGCTTTTGCTGGAGGATGTTATAAATGAAAATTTAGTGTCCATTCCATCAGCTTTGTCAACTGGGAGAAGTGGTGTGTGTGTTGGGAGCCCTGGGGAGTATTTGCCATCAGCAGAGAGCCGTCTCTCGTCCCCTCATCTCTGCCTTGGCACGGAGGCTGTTTCCCAGGGGTTAGTCTTTACACCTCAGCCCTGGAAGCTCGAGGACTTGAACTTCGGGGATTGGTAGCCGTCAGCACAGACTTTCTGTCCCAGTTGCCTCCCGTGTCCACAGAGCTGTCTGTTTGCTCAGCATCACGAGAGTCTACACGTAGATGACTAGCAGAAGGACCCTAGGGCCCCCACGTCTGGGGCCGCTTACACCTGCAGAAGCTGCTGTGGTTACTTACCGTAGATCTCTGATGGCTAGTGGCAGGTCCCACAGACAGTGCCTCAGAGCCCCGTGCTTAGCACTCCTGCGCTTCATGCGGCAGGCGGCCTGTGAAAATCAACCAGGAAAACAAGGCATTTTTTTCTCTTTTTTTAAAAAGCTTGATAAACTTACAGGGAAGAATGAATACTTTTTTATTCCCCTTTTTGAAACCAAAATCATACTTATTTTGCCATGAACTTTTAGAGTTTTAAAATTATCCTTATTAATTATAAATAGAAACTACCTTTAAAAGGTGGGATAACCAAATTATTCTGTAAATCCATCAAATATTTGTTTTAAAAAAAGATAAAAATCGCTGGCTTTACTTACAAAGTTAGGAAGCTGTAGGCTGTTTGCAGCTTTAATTTTATGTCTTTTTTTTTTTTTTTTTTACGTATTTTTCCCTATCACGGAATTTCATAAGGGTTAGGAGGTAAATCAGTCCCCGTGTAGCATGGAACCAGGGTAAGCATGTACTAGAAGTGAAGCTGCATCCTTCAGAAATCTCCACTAGTCCGGAGCACTTCCCAGGATTTACGAGGCGTTCTCTGAGATCGATTCATGCACTAGGTCAAGTAACCGCACACATTGATCTGAAAGCTGATTAGCTTGTGAATGCCTGTTTTAAACCCTGTTTCCTCTTCTGGAGGAGGCTGCTGTCCAGAGCCCGGGAGCCCGAGAGCAGGGACATCGGAGAGGAGGGGCAATGTGTCAGCACTGACAGGAGAATTTTCAGGAGCAGTTCAGCATCCCACATTTTGATAAGCTTGAATAGAGCATCTCTAGATGCCTCAGAATGTTCTTGTAGGAAATAAGTAGAAATAAGTTAGATTCAGCTTTTAATGCACGAGCAGTTGGTGACGCTAACTAGGAGTGGCGTCTAGGGGCTGGTTCCTGGGTGGAGTGGCAGCTTTCTGCACACACAACAAGGAACAGAGTGTGTAAGCACACATCACTTAACCAGTTACAAAGAGAGATAAAGGAATCTATAAATTTTGCATTTACAAGATCCTGCAACGAAGGCGTTGTAAGTTACTCTTTCTGGGCACCGCAGGTTCGAGCAGCACAGATGTTAAGGAAAGCTGCAGTCTGGACAGCGTGCCCCCCAAGGACGGCAGCGCCCCCGGGCCTGGCGAGGGCGCCCCACTCTCCAACGGGGGTGGCGGTGGCGCCAGCCGGAAGCGGCCCCTGGAGGAGGGCAGCAACGGCCACGCCAAGTTCCGCCTGAAGAAGAGGCGGCGGCCGCCCGGGCCCGCGCTGCCGAAGAACGCCCTGATGCAGCTGAACGAGATCAAGCCTGGCCTGCAGTATGCACTGCTGTCGCAGACCGGGCCGGTGCACGCGCCCCTGTTCGTCATGTCCGTTGAAGTTAACGGGCAGGTGTTTGAGGGCTCTGGCCCCACCAAGAAGAAGGCCAAGCTGCACGCCGCCGAGAAGGCCCTGCGGTCTTTCGTGCAGTTCCCCAACGCCTCCGAGGCGCACCTGGCCATGGGGAGGACCCTGTCCGCCAACACGGACTTCACGTCCGACCAGGCTGACTTCCCCGACACACTCTTCAACGGCTTCGAGACCCCAGACAGGTCGGAAATACCCTTCTACCTGGGCTCCAATGGGGACGACTCCTTCAGCTCCAGCGGGGACCTCAGCTTGGCGGCGTCCCCGGCGCCCGCGAGCCTGGCGCAGCCTCCTCTCCCCGGCCCTCCGCCGTTCCCACCACCGAGCGGGAAGAACCCCGTGATGATCCTGAATGAGCTGCGGCCGGGGCTCAAGTACGACTTCCTGTCCGAGAGCGGGGAGAGCCACGCCAAGAGCTTCGTCATGTCTGTGGTGGTGGACGGCCAGTTCTTCGAGGGCTCAGGCAGGAACAAAAAGCTCGCCAAGGCCCGGGCTGCGCAGTCCGCACTGGCAACCATTTTTAATTTGCACTTGGATCAAACACCGTCTCGCCAGCCCATCCCCAGCGAGGGCCTTCAGTTACATTTACCGCAGGTGAGGAAACGTGCCGCTGCCGGAAACGGTGGCCATGTCTTGACAGTGCTTTCAGACAGGGCTTCATTCTCCTGGTCGCTGTTGATGTCCCATCTGAACGTCCCTGGTAAGTCTGGCTCCGGGCGGTCCTGCCCTGCCGGGCGGGTCATGCTGGGCGGCCTGTCCAGGGCCGTCACGTGCGGGCGGGACACATGAAGCCCCGTCCACCAGAGCGGTGCTTTCAGTGGCCTCCAGGCCGAGCCCTGCCCTGTGCCCCACGGCAACCCGTGGCTCCCTTCCCACATAATCCACCCTTGTGGGGACCCACGTCCCGCTGCAGCCTGTGACAGGAGCAGCTCGGCGGTGTTTCCCGCAAAGTCTCACCAGGGAATCCCAAGCACAGAAGGGAGGCCGGCTGGCCAGTAGCTGAACCCCTAGTGCGGGTACGGGTGGGTGACTTGCAGCTCCAGCAGGGCTGAGGGCTGAGGGCTGAGGGGCCAGCCGGGCCGAGGACACCCCACAACAGGCGTGAGCCTCTTGGAGGGGCAGAGGGGCGAGGGGCGGAAGGGGACCTTCAGCAGCACTCAAGGTGCCCTGGAATCTGTACCTGGAATGTCCTTGGTGGGGTCCACGTGGGTCTCCCTGCTGCTCGGCTGGAGGTAGGCGGCCGCTCTTGTTTGGTCTTGGACGGCCCTCCCGCGTAAGACCAGGGTGAGGATGGGGGATTTCAGGGTGGGCTCATGGCTTATGTGAACGGGGAGATAGTGTGTAGCTGGCATCTCTAAATCCTAGAACTCTTTATGTATTGCTTCTCTTCTTGGAAATCCAGGTTTTTAGTGTAAAAATTATCCTTTTAGAGAGAAAATCTGACCACCCTTCTTTATTCCTTTTTGTCAAAATATTACTGATGTTGAAGATAAATTATGTACTGGTTTGATCAGGAAAAATGAAGGGACTAGGTCGCTAGATGGGACAGCTTGTATTTCTCCTAGAAGAATCCGAGTGTCACAGCTTATCTGGTGCCTTTGAACACGAGTAGGGTAATCTCTCCGTGCTGTTGCCTGAGGTGACCAGTACTCCTAGGTTTTAGAAGAAGAAACTTTATTTTATTTTGCCTAAAGCAACCAAATACAGCATCAATATAAAATAGCGTATTTGAAAATCCTACTGGTATTTAATGAACCAAATAATCACATCCCATATTAACCTCTTACGCACATTTTTCAGACGAATAGTAGTCCGTTTATCATTTCACACGTCAGTGGTGCTGGTTCCCTGGGACTTTTATTTTCAGGTTTCCTGTTTGCTGCAGTATCTTCCCGCTTGAGTTCACACCGGTGTCTGGTGCCCCTGCCTGCCCTTGACCTCAGCAGAGTCACGTGTGAGATGATTGGAATCCCATCAAATGTGGGAACCCCCGGTGCCTGGGCTTTGCAGGGTGGAGGGGTCACACCGTGGCGGGGAGGCATGCGGGGGTCCCGGCCTGGGCCTGTACTTCCGTGGGAGCTGAGACCAGAGCCCTGCTGGGGGCCACGTGGGCCTCACCGGGAGGGGCTTCCGGGAATCTGGTCTAAAGGAGAGGGGTAGACGGGCAGGGGTCATCTCAGCCCTGCCCCAGGCCGCTTGCCCGAGTTCTGCAAGCGCCCGGTGCTGGTGTGGAGCTGCGTGTCCCGTGTCTGCTCCCTGTGCCCCCACTGTGGTGTCTCTGGAGCCCCGCGGGAGCTCAGGGTATGACCACACTTTCCTTGGAGGACCTGGGGTGGCCTGCGCAGAATCAGCCCTGGCAGCTTGATTTCTGGAATCTTTGCATTGCAAGTTTCCAGTGTGCCTTCTGGAGTGGTGAGCATCCTCACCGTTGGCCTGGAGTAGCCCTTGAGTCCCTGGTCTTGGAACTTCTTGCCTTCATCGTGTTCATAGGGCGTTCCAGGGTTTAAACCCGGACGTCGTGGCCACGTGAGGTGTGCAGAGCCCTCTGTCAGTGGTGGATTCTGTGAGAGCTGCAGAACCGGGCCGTCAGCTCCTGGGCGCTGTTGCAGGGAAGGGGTGCCGCCTGGGGCTGTGGGGGCATGCGTGTGACTCTCGTTGTTGCATCTGCGCCCAACATGTAGAGAGAGAGTCGCTTCTTTACCCGGAGGAAGGAGGCTGTAATCTCTGTGAGGGGTCGGAGGGACTGTCTCGGTGCCGAAAATGCCTGCCTCTGACCAGTGAGTGTCCACGTAAGGGCCTGACCTCCGTCTGAGTGTCTCTGAGCTCTGGGGTTTGGAGATAGGCCTAACCTTCCATGAAACGGAAGCTTTTCTTTTCTGTGGCTTATCCTTAATCTCTCTTAAGATTTTTTCTCTTACGTAAATTGGAACACGTGGTCCTTCATCTTTGATCCCCTCCCCACCGTGTCGCCTGCACCCACGTGTGTGGCACTGATGCTCTGCTCTGGGTGCAGGGGGCCTGCCACCCCACGTCTTCTGTCCACGCTCCCCGCCCCCCGCTGGAGCGCAGTCTTCTGGGGCTCCTTGGTACTTACTGGGGCAACGGCAGGAGGAAGAAATCCTGGTGACATTTGTTTTGTTCAAAATAAGTCATCATTTAGGATGAGGGACGTTTCTGTCCATTTGGGGAGTGTTTTATTACGGGCCAAACTGGGGACACTCGATGTAGCTGTTTGATCGTCAGGTGTGAGATTGGGAGGACACAGCTCTTCACGCACACCCCCTGTCAGGCATCATTTCCCAGAAACACTAGAATCCAAGATAAATGATAAGCTGTGAAAACAAGACTGGACAGATGCGTTTGCTCCTGGGAAGGGCTCCCCCCAGTGCAGGCTGTCTGGTCTGGCCGTGTGCCAGCCACACGTAAGCCCGTCCCCAGAGAGCGTGGCCGTCAGTGCTGTCTGGCGTGGGCTGGGTCTGCGGCAGGTGCCCTCGCAGGCTCTCGTGGGCGCTGCTTCCCTGGCCGTGGCTGAGCCACGTGCGGCAGGCGCCCCGGGCCGTGGCTGAGTGCAGCCGTGTGGCTCTTCACCAGGTCGTTCTCCCCCTGCCCCTTCTCTTGCCCTGATGTTGTGGGGCACACTCGAGGGCGTGTTCCCCGGCCCGGCCAGTCCCCGAGTGGACGGCCACCCCTCCTGTGGTCAGAAAAGGAGCGCTTTCACTTCTTCAAAAGCCCTGCTGCTCCAGGGCTCCTTGGAGGCTGGGTGAGCCGGGTGCAGAGCGGGGTGCAGAGTCGTGGAGGGTGTGAGGCAGGTGGCCCAGAGAAGCCGCTCTGGCTGGTCTCTGCCTCAGCGTCCTCATCCAGGGGCAGGGCCGGGGTATTGGGAGGACCAGAGGGGTGGCGTGGGCTCTGGACTGTCCCTCTCCGTGAGACACTCGAAGGACTCCAGCCAGAGCCTCCAGTGCTCCTGGGGCCTCTGTTTCCAAGGAATGTTTTGGAGGGGAAAAAGCATGCACACACACGCGCGCGCCCGTTTGCCAGTTTAGCCTGTGTGGTTTTCCAGAAGAGAAGCCATCTGTAAGGCCACTGTCAAGGGACGGCCTTGTTGGTGTGCGCGGGGCGGGTGCAGGCCGCACCCCTGACTCCCTGCTGTGGTCCTCAGGTGTTAGCCGATGCCGTGGCCCGCCTGGTGCTGGATAAGTTTGGCGATCTGACGGACAACTTCTCCTCTCCTCACGCACGCAGGAAAGTTCTTGCCGGCATCGTCATGACAACAGGTAAAACGTTGGTGTTGCACGTCAGCCTGCCTTGCTTCCTGCCTAACAGAGAGGGGACGTGCTCTCAGGCTGGGACCACCTCTGTGACACTGAGGGGGCCGTTTTCCTAATCCTTCAGAATCCCTGTCATGTGCAAACGTAGGAACTGCACTCACATTTTCCCCTACACGTTCGTTTCTTTAACCTAGGTTTTCTTATTTGGAGAAAGCATACTGTATTAATATCTGATTCCTGTAATCACATGTGAGTGGTTTTGATCGACTCTGGAAAAATCCAGCAGAATGGCACCTCCCCCTTCCTGCTTCATTTGCAAGTGGGACGCATTTGGCTTAACCAGTGGGGACGCTACCAGCTAGTTTCTGTGGGACTTTTATGTGGGAGACAGGCAGCTCTAGCAAGAGCAGAAAATGCACAGGTAAAAAGCACACTTCGGGATGGCAGAAGGAGCCCTTTAAATTTACACAGAAGTTCCCACCAACGCGAGGAACCCCCCTGAGTCCTTTCCCGCACCCCAGGGGTGAGGATGCTGAGCAGCATCTGCCCGTGGACCACTCCCAGGAACAGGAGACCACAGCGGTGGCCCAGGCCTGGATCCCTGCTCCTGTGGGGCCTTCTGCCCTGGGACAAGCACTCGGCCCCCCGCTGGCTGTCTGAGCCTGGACCTCCACGTGCAGAAAGCCCCCTAGGGCTGGAACGCTTTATGTGTCTACACCTGCCAGCCAGGGAGAAAACCCCCGTCCTCCATGTGGCGAACGCACTGTCCTTTTCTCGCGAGGCAGCTCTCTGTCCCATCGTGGGCAGGACGTGATTTCATGCTCCTCAGCGTTGGCCCACCCCTTGACGGCCGAGGAAACCTGAGTGCTGTTTTAATTACGGCTTTTTCTTGCGCGATGTCTTTACTTCGGCGCAGCAGAGGGTACGCCTGCGGTAGGAGGAAGTGCTCTGGACGTCACCCGGGCCTCGGGGTGATTCTGGCGGTGATGCCTGCGTTCTCCCCGCCCCTCTCTTTGCTGCTTTTCTCACATGACGGAAGGCGAACGCTTCAGCCCCTGGAGTGACGCGTCCCCTGGGTGAGGCTCTGTGCCTCCAGCCGCGGCAGGCGTGAGCGGCTGCTGGGTCCGCCCAGGCCGGCCAGAGGGGGCACACCAGCTCCCGGGGCGTGTTGCATCCTGCTGTGCATCTCACTTGCGACCTTTAGCTCGGGGCCACGGTGTACCCCAGCAGGTACGGCCCCTGGCACGGGGCCCGACGTCGGATGGCCGGGTTCGGCTGGTTGAATGACCTTGGGCAGGCCGTTTGACCCCTGAGGCTCGTCATCTGCTAAATGGAGACTGGTATACGTGCCCCTCAGAGCACGCCGTGGGAACGAAGCGGAAACCCTTACCTAACAGGCCTGGCGCTGCGCCTGCCGCTCGGGGCGCACACGGTCCGTGGAGCTGCCGGCGAGTGAGGTTTGCTCTCGGGCCGTGTGCACGTCTTGCCCCGGGTCTGGAGTACGTGGTCCATCAGCACCGTCCGCCAGACTGGCGGTGTGTCCAGTGCTGTTGCCAGCACACCGTGGGTCACCTCGTCTCTGCCCCTCTCGTCCCTCGGGTGGCGGCACGCCCTTCCCCGTAGCCTCGCTGGCGCTTTGATAGGCCATTTAGTCTGCCTCTGCCTGGCGCTCCCTCCCCGTGTCTGCTGGGAAACGTTCAAGAAAAGACTTGGTTGCATCCAGAGGAAATCCCTTCCTTAGGGTTGAATCTGTAGACGAAAGAGCGAGGGAGTTTCACTTCCCAGGAACGTTGCTCCGTGAGTCCTCAGGGGGAGGCCATTTGCAGAGGCTGAGTCTGCCCAGGTACAAGTTGGGGCAGGGGTGCATATCACACCCCAAAAGTGAAGTCACTGAGAACGCACGGCAGGCCCCGGGAGCACAGCGAGCCACGAGGAGTAATTTCTTGTTTGTTTTCCAGGCACAGATGTGAAAGACGCCAGAGTGATCAGTGTTTCCACGGGGACAAAGTGCATCAATGGCGAGTACATGAGTGACCGTGGCCTTGCGTTAAATGACTGCCATGCAGAGATTATAGCTCGGAGATCCTTGCTTAGATTTCTTTATACGCAACTTGAGCTTTACTTGAAGTAAGTTTAGTAAGTAAATAACTGAAGGAAGCAGTTTCTAAATAACATTCCCTCCTGTCAGAATGTATTGCAAAACCTTCATTGTTTCTGTAATCTCTGAAAAATTCTTAAAATAGTAACTTTATTGGCAATGAGGAGGTTGGGTCCTGTTTTCCCATGATGCTCAAGCTACAAAATCCAGTCGGGCGAATACTACACACGCATGCACACGTGTGGCGGCTCATGTGGCCGTCGATCTGAGGTCTGTGCTCAGGCCCGTGTGCTTCTGGTGTGCGCGGCATGAACCTGAACAGAACCGAGCCGCCTGGGGACCGGGGCCATTCATTCCAGTCACCTGTCTGAGCTGATTTTCTTTACCAAGCCATTTCTTACGTGTCGTCTGTCTGTGTCGACGTCCTAAACGAGAAGAAGGGAAGGTCACTCATGTTCCGATGACTTGTTCTTTATTGAGTGGACTCAGTCATTAACTGTGTTAATTATCATCAACACGTCAACGTCCCAGTTCAAGCTCATCTGTACCTTGTTGAAAGTAGTGGCCTCTGAAAGTCATTGTAAATCACGACAAAGTTTTGACTGTATACAGCTTGAAAGATCATTTTTGCAACCCTTTTCCTTCTAGTAACAAAGACGATCAAAAACGGTCCATCTTTCAGAAGTCCGAGCGGGGAGGGTTTAAGCTGAAGGAGAGTGTTCAGTTCCATCTGTACATCAGCACGTCTCCCTGTGGGGACGCCAGGATCTTCTCACCGCACGAGCCGATCCTGGAAGGTATGGGACTCAGCCGGCAGTGTCTCGAGCAGACTCGGGGTTACGTAGTGACAGACCGAAGAGTAAACCTACGTGAATATCCTTTTCTTCTTTTTCTTGAAAATTTCAGCTTTGAAAGTGGATCTGATAGGAATATATGGAAGCATGAGGTTTTTCTTTTCAATGAATAATTTGATGAGGAGACCTGACTGAATGAGACGTGTTGACTCTGATGCACTAAGGAATTAGAGTAGAAGTAAGGGTATTAACTCAGACTTGTATTTAAATCTGGACAGTCTGTATCTCTGCATCTGGGCTTTGGACAGGCCGTGATTTGATGTGTGTGTACCTGCGGGAGTGGCGGGCATTTCAGAAGCAGGCACACACTAGTGAGAAGGGGGCCCTGACGCACCATCACGTGAGGCCCATGCTTCTGCTATACAGTGATTCGTGTCCTCGTCTCTTCTCCTAAGCTGAAGCAACTCAAATACAGCATCTGAGTGCATTATTTTCCTTGATTCCAGAGGCAACATATATGCACTGTGGAAAATTGCTACATATTTTTTTAAAATATAAGAAAAAATTTTAATCGCCCATGTTCATGTAACCCAGAGATACTCACTTTAGATGTTTGTGCGTGCATGCTTCCTCTGCATTTATTTCAGCATCCCTGTAATTTAATTTTGGAACATTTAAAAATGCAGGGAAAATATATAACCCTCACATATCCATCATCTAGAATTAGCAAATGTTAGCATTTTGTCCCGTTTGCTTCAGCTCATTTTTAATGATAGAAATCATTCTGGTTAAAATGGAAGTCCTCTTTCCCCAGCCCCTAGAGGAGACCACTTTCCTGAATTTGGTTTGTATTACATCCTCTCCTGCCCAGTTTTCTCTACCATGTTGTACGTCTGTCTTAGAGAGAGAGAGAATAAGCATGTGCACAGGGCCGTGAGCTGACGTTAGATGTCTAGGGGGTTGCTGCCCGCGGGACTCTCATCCGGCCTCCCTTTCCTAGAACCAGCGGACAGACATCCAAACCGCAAAGCCAGAGGACAGCTGCGGACGAAAATAGAGTCTGGCGAAGGCACAATTCCCGTGCGATCCAATGCAAGCCTCCAGACGTGGGACGGGGTGCTGCAGGGCGAGAGGCTGCTCACCATGTCCTGCAGCGACAAGATGGCGCGGTAAGGCCTCCCGTCCGCGGGCTCCCTGCAGGCGCACGGTTCGTCCGCGTTTCCAGCTCCAGTGTTCCCCGCATTCTCTGCAGGACTGAGGCTCTGTGCGGTGCCTTTGGGGGCCACCTTGCAGGGGTTGAGCTGGGGCCTCCCCACAGGAGGCTCTGGGCCGCTCACACTGCTTTGCTTCTGTGTTTGCACGTGTGGGCTTCTAGTGAGTCCGTGTGCTAGACAGTGACGTTTTAAAACAGTTTGCCCCCAGAAAAAAGGAAGAGTGTCCTTATTCCTAGGGGATGCCACCTTACGGGTCCTGCTCGTGGCCGAGGTAGCAGTTTGGGTTATTGTGAGAGCAGAGTGTCCCTAGCGTCCCGTGCCGGGTGGTGGCTGCCGGCGAGCCTGGGTTTGGAGCCTGGAGCACACACACCCGTTTGCCTTCACGTGACAGGTGTTTTCAGAAACAGATGTGTCCAGGCCAGACTTTTTAAAAAAGCCTCATTTCTTCGGATGCTAGCGTTAGTTGCATTAGCTCTTTGTTTTTATTTTTTAACAAATGTCTACTTGAAAAGAAAAGTAACATAGGTAGATGGCAAAAAGTTCAACGGTACAGAGCATGGAAAACAAAGATCTCCTCCGTCTTCAGAGCCACCCACGTGAATGCGTTCCAAACTGCCCTTCCAGAGTGGTCACAGCCATGTGAATGTGTGCACACGACCCTGTTCGGTTGTCTGTAAGCCTTTTGTGTTGAGTTTCTTGAATGGACCTTGTCAGGGAACCTCAAGTACACAGAACTTGATTCCTCACGCATGGCCCATCCCCCCTCCCCCAATCTATGTTTTAGATAACAGATATGTTTGGTATGTTTTAGATAGCAGATATGTTTTTGGTATGTTTTAGATATCCCCAAGCACAGGTACTCACTATGCCCACCTTGACTCATTTGCTTATTATGTGTCCTTCTGTCCACTCTCCATTCACTTTTATGTCTGTGTGTGTGTAGCCTTGAAAAATACACAGTGGTGTCATTTGGGGGTATTTATGCGTATGTTGTTAATTTATGGAGATGGAATTGTGTTTTAAATGCTATTCTGCATCTCATAGTTTCATTCAACCCAGTGTTTGGGAACTGTCCCTGATGCTGTAATAAATAGCGGACTGCTTACTTCTCAGTTCTGCAAAGACCCTGTCATAGTCATGGACTGCGCCATGTCCGTTCCCTCACGGTCGAGACTTGGGTCTGCCCTAACTCTCCTCTATGGTTCAGCTTGAGTTTCCATGAGCGTAGCTCATTCTAGACCTTCGCCATCCAGGATCTCCGCTGTACACATGTAGAACTTCACAGATGATATCAGACGCGCCCCAGAACGCTCACACGGTTTGCACTTACACCAACAGTGCGTGATGCTAGTTTCCGCCTCATTTGAAAACTGGCGTCTGCTGGGGGTGTGGGGCAGCCATTCCGTCGTTCATCTTTCTCATCAGAGGTGCCTGTTGACACCCTCTGCCCATTTGTCTTTGGGATCTCATGGTTTTTTTATCTTCGTCTGCAGATGTTCCTCATGTAGTTTGCACTGCAGTCCTTGATGGTTTCAGAAGTTCTGTGTCTTCTCCAGTCCAAACCCATGTCTTCACTTGGTCCGTGCCAAACCTTCGTTTTGTTATTACCTGATCCGTTAATTTTTCACCCTGTGGTTTGCACTTTCAGAATCTTATTTAAGAAATTCCTTCTCAAATTAAGGACGTAAAAATATTCTCCCATACTTTTTTCTAAGATTTTTATCATTTTACTTTCAAATTTAGACCTCTAACACATTTGTATTTGTAAGTAATAATTTGGCTTTATTATTTTAATACAGTGAATCAGTTTTCCAGGTACCATCTACTAAATAATTGACGTTTTCCTCGTTGATCTGTGAAGGCATCTCTATTACATACTGAACTCTCTTACAAAGATGGGTCTGTTTCGAGCCTCTCAAATCACCGTTAGCTCATAATCAGACGTAATTGTATGGATCACACAGTTTTTACACTTCTGACATTTCAGCATGTTTAAAGGTAGCTTTTTATGTACCTCTATTCTTCTGTACATATTTTAGAATCAGCTCAAGTGTCACCAGATGTCTTGCTCACATTTTATATGGACTCGTGAAATTATGGATGGAAATGGAAAAAATTAACATAAAGTTAAATCAGTCCATCCGTGAATATTGGCTCCTTAAAAAGTTAAACATATAATTACCATATGATCCAGCAATTCCACTTCTGGGTATTTGCCCCAGAGAACTGAAAGCAGGGTCTCCAAGAGATACTTGTTCACCCACACTCACTCATGGTCACTTTTAGCTCACAAGAGCTAAAAAACATGGTGAGGTGTCTGTTAAGATCTTTCACCCATTTTTTAATAGGGTAGTTTGTTTTGTTTTCTTTTTGGGTTTTAAGAGTTTTTTTGGTATGTTTTAGATAACAGTCCTTTATCGGATATATCTTCTGCAAAATTTTCTCCCAGTCTGTGGCTTGTCTTCTCATTCTGTGGATATTGTTTTTAGCCAAGCAAAAGTTTTAAGTTTTAATACAGTCCAACCTGTCAATATTTCTTTCATGGATTGTGCCTTTGGTGTTGCTTGGAAAATGTCATCACCAAACCTAGGGTCATCTAGATTTTCTCCTGTGTTGTTTTCTAGGACCTTTATGGTTCTGCATTCTACATTTGGGTCTGTGATCCACTGTGAGTTAGTTTTTGTGAAGGGTGTAAGGTCTGTGTCTAGAGTCATTTTTTTTTGCGTGTGGACATCCTGTTGTTCCAGCCCCACCTGTTGAAGAGACTCTGGTTGCTCCCTTGTGTTGCCTTTGTTTCTTTAGCAAAGATCTGTTAACTACATCTCTGTGGGTCTATTTTTGGGCTCTCTTTTCTGTTGCCTTGATCTGTTTGTCTGTTGTTTTACCAGTACTACACTGTCTTGATTACCATTTGGATTTTGAATCCAGTTCCGTTGTATGTGTGTGTAGGAGGGATTGGTCCCTCACACATCTAACAAGGAATCTTCGGCACCAGCTGGGTGTCCTACAACTCGCCTGTGCTTCTGACCAACCAGGTATAAACTGGAGGTCTCAAAGACCTCCTCCTTGGGTTCAATTAATTTGCTAGAGCAGCTCATAGATCTCAGAGAAACCTTTTACTCACTAAATCGCCAGCTTATTAGAAAAGGATGTAACTCAGTCACAGCTAGATGAAGAGATGCAGAGGGCGGGTCACAGGGAGAGGGTCAAGGAGCTTACAAGCCCTCTCCAGGTGCATTGCTCTCCTCACATCCACATGTCCGCCAACCCGGAAGCTTCAAACCCTGTCCTTTGGGGTTTTTATGGAAACTTCATTACATAGACACAATTCATTAAATCATTGGCCACTGGTGATTTTTAAAAAATTTTTTTAATTTCTTAAGTAATCTCTACACCCAACGTTGGGTTCGAACTCACGACCCCAAGATCAAGAGTCTCATCCTGTACCAACTGAACCAGCCAGGCGCCCCAAATCATTGGCCATGGGTGATTAACTCAATCTCTAGCCCCTTTCCCCTCCTTGGAGATCAGGAGAGGGGGATGGGTCTGGAAGTTCCACCCCTCTAAACCAACCCTCATCCTTAGATGCTTTCTAAAAGTCACCTCGTTAACGTAGCAAAAGACACCTTTGAGGCCCTCATCGCTCAGGAAATTCCAAGGGTTCTAGGAGCCATGAGCCAGGAACCATGGATGAAGACCAAACATATATAAGGGCAAAATACAGTTCTTATAAATCACAATATCACAATTACTGTAGCTTTATAGTCAGTTGTGAAGCCACAGAGTGTCAGTCCTTCAGCATTGTTTTCCTCCAGTGTTGTCTTGGTTATTCTGGGTCTTTTGCCTCCATCTGAACTTTAGAATCCGTTTGTCAGTACCTGCAAAATACCTTGCTGGGATTTTGACTAAGACTCATTGAATCTAGATGAAGGTGGGAAGAGCTGATATCCTGACAATATTGAGTGGTCCTATCCATGAACATGGAATATCTCTCCTATTTATTTCTTTGATTCTTTTTTCAGAGTTTGGTAGTTTCCTCGTATAGATTTTGTATGTATTTTGTTAGAGTTATACCTAAGTATTTAATTTTTGGAGTCATTAATGTAAATGGCATCATGTTTTATAATTTCAAATTCCACTTGCTCCATATTAGCCACACTGACTTTTGACCAAGGTGCAATGGTAATTCAATGGGAAAAAGTCTTTTTAACAAGTGGTGCTGGGACAATTGGACATCTCTATGTAAAAACAAACAAATGAACTTCATATTTTGCACCATATGCAAAAGTTAACTCGAGATGCATCATAGACTGAAATGTGTAAAAGTTGTAGAAGAAAGCAAGGGAAGATGCTAGCAGTTGTGGTAGGCACCTTCTTAGATAATACACCAGAGGCACTCAACTCCATCAGATTAAAATTTCTTCTCTTTTGAACACACCATTAAAAGAATGAGAAATAAAGTCACCGACTGGGAGAAAATATTCACAAATCAGGTATCTGATAAAGGGCCTGTACACAATATTAAAATTTAGACCCTCAAAACTCAACACAGGGGAAAAGCAATTTTAAAATGGGCAAAGTATCTGAATGGACACTTCATCAAAAAAGATGTCAAAGAAGCACATGACGAGACACTCAACACCGTCCTCACTGGGAAATGCACGTGAAGCACAAAAGCACACCCATCAGAATGCTGAGCGTATGAGGTGTGGACAGTGATGCAGGGAAGCAATGCCCTTGGCCGCCGAGGGCGGGCATGCAGATGGCACAACCACTTGTGAAGAGCTCGGCAGTGTCTTAAAAAGTTAAAGATGTGCCTAGCCCGTGTCCAGACTCACACCCAAGTGTGCCTAGCAGCTGTCTTTGTAGAAGTCAGAAAGTGGAAACAAACCAAATGGCCGACTGTAGGGAAGTAGATGAATACGTGGTGGTGTGTCCACACAGTGGGATACTCC